AAAAAAAGAGTGTTTTACTGCTGCTACAGAGTTACGACCTGCCCACGATGGAATCGACGTATGTAACGAAGAGCGAATCGCACAGGCATGGGATGAATGGCAGGTATATACAGGCCTCTTGAAGCTGCCTAACAAAGTACAGGCCGTAGAGGGTTCTGAAAAGACGGGAAAAGACGATGCCAACGGAAAAACCTTTGTATTGCATCATATGACTTCCCTTAACCTTCTCTCTATACTTTTTATTCTGTAGCTTTATGTAACGCTCGGAATGTTTTGATAAGACGATAGCTGCATCCACGGCAGATTTTGCATGTGAATGTTTTTCTAATGGCTCATTCTTTGAAGGATTGCTAAATAGCCGAACAGAGGACCTCACATCTTCAATGTTTACCTAATCATAACAAAACCGGTAATTACAGTGCAATTTTGGACGAGTTTTCGCTGGCTACGAGGGCACAACCGTGATTTTTGGCAAATTCACCGGGTTCAAAGCGACCAAATCATAAAAATTAATTGGAAAATATAAATAGCGAGTGGATCACTTAGTTTCGAGCAACTCTAGGCAATTCTAATTGACTGCTACACTTTTCGGAATTTTTACAACAACTATTTTTACTAATTCCTCAGATTACTTCGCCAATTTTTAGCAATAATGGAAAACTGCAAAGTAATTGCGCTTTGAAAATGATTCGAGTCTTTTGTTTTGACGGCAGTACAGTCATAGATATTGTATTGAGCTATTTTGAGCGGAAAAAAAATTTCGATCGTCATTTCAGTGAAATGAGTGAATCATCGGTGACTCTTGTATCGAGCCATGCCCAACAAATGGAGGAGGTCCACCATGTAAGTTTGTCAGGCACATTTTGAAAACTACGTTCCTCCGCATGAATTGGTTCCAGTGCCATCGTATTGCAGATGTTTGATGCTTCACTGTGCGTACCTTACAAGTACTTTACTTTTTAGTCTTATAGACTAATAGACCGATAAGCTATACTCGCTCTGTTGCCGACATTTACATAACTTTTTTCTTCTTAGCAGGACGCATTGAATACCTTCGAATGTTCCTTGCTTGCGGTTAAGTTAGAGAAATGTTCTGAAACGGTGAAAATGATTGAATTCGCAGCTAATGAACTTCATGGTCCTCAGGAGAAGGATTTCAAAGTTGCTCTGCAAAGTTGAGAAGGGTCTACAAAAAATGTTATCAGTCTGTTCATTTTCACGGGGAGGGACCTTGAAAAATTCTTCAAGGGATTTATTTACACATGACTCGACACGGGTTTCAATTGAATATTTGGTTTTGACGAAAGAAATATTCGTAATGATGATGAGTGTACGTCACATTGGTTGGCAAAGACCTTTTCCTAGATAGCAAATGACAGGGCAGTCTGATTAGACAGTCTTAGATGACTGACTGCTCCAACGTGTCCATTTAGTTGCCATCAATCGAATCATTTCCTCGATCATTCACTCCTCACTCCTGCTTTCATACATATCATTTTCCTCAGAAAAAACATAGCTCCCCTTAACATCCTTCCTCTCTCCAGAACTTTCAGTCAGACCTTCGGCTCAGTGTGAACTACTAACTACTCAATATGAACTGGGATTCCTAGTCTGCTAATTTCCAGATATAAAGCCTTAACTGAAAAGGAATCGCATTTTAAAAAGGTCGGGTTGAAGCTGTACTACTACTACTTCACTGCTATCCAAAACCTGTGATGCATATGGCTTTTGATCCAACTCGAAAACTGATCCACTTCGATCCAGGTATGGGTCAGGAGAGCCCACTTGCTGCCGTCGTTCCGAAACAGGAACACTGCATGAGGCGGCTACACTCGGTCATATTCGCACGATGCTTATCTTCCAAACTTCTCTGGCTCTCAGTCAAACAGTGAAGGAAGCATATTTTTTTGCTTTCAAAAAAGAATTCTCTGTCTTCTTGCTATTCGAGCATTGGCGTTTCTCGAATATTGTTTTCTTTCATATCTCATGTAGCCTGCCGTCCCGATGATCATCGATTTCCTCGAGCGGGCGCCAGTATGGCCATTATAGTCCCTGTCGAGAGCCAGAGTAGTTAAGTGGATGGTCCTCGCTCGAGGGACCAGTGGCAAAATATTCCTATCGAAACCTTTCGTAAAGAAGTGTGACCATCGTGCTAGCGGCAGTCCTTGTGCCGTTGACGTCTGGTCTCGTTGACGTCAGGAAGGACTTGACTGAGTATTGCAATGCATCTTCCTAACTTCGACCTAACAGCGTTTCTAGCGCCTTTTGACTTACTAGCTGCGAAGCAAACAAGGAGTTGGGAATCACAATCACATGATTCCGAGGAAGTTGTACTTCCATCCGAGAATAATTTCTGATTTTTCGGAGTAATATCTGTCCTCTTTCTGAAAATAGCTTGAAATTTTGGTCCTATGGCAAACTCGACGAGTTTGCTCCCTGATCTCTGTTGCGTGAAGGTTTTTTTTACTATCTACTTTTCAGTCCTTCATAATACGTGTTTAGGCTATCGGTGAAGGAGCAAGGACACCGATAGCGCCGTTCCGCACTCCAAGTCACGACGCTGTCATCGAGCAATTCAAAAGCCTTCATAAGCGTGAAGTAAGCTACCTGATATTACTGGTAAAGCCATAAGTCATCAAGAGAAGAGTTACTGGAGCAAGTATCACTTGATTGAATATGATGCTCCTGACTACCATTTTTTTCTAGGATATTTGATGCATCACTTAAAAAAAGAAACTTTTGTGGGTCCTCTTTCTAATGTAAGCGGGAAACTGCTGCTAGACAGGGTGGCGGTACTGCTCCTCGAAGTCCCACGACAAGCGGCAATGATTTCGTGGTGGCTATCGTATCCTCCCCTTTGGAATTCGAACCTTCACCTTTTAGCGCGCGATCGGGTGCGGCGAGCTCAACGCAGTTTTCGGGGACAAGTACCCACGCCCTTGTAGTACCTCTTGTAGATATATACTCGATCGAATTTAGCATGAAAAGGTGGCGAAAATAGTTCAATACTTTGTGAGGAAATGGCTAAGCCGCAAGGCCAAGCTGAACAAAGTGGCCTGCTCCGCCTGCTGGCCATTTACCACCTAACAAAACCTTATGCGTCCAGCTTGCTTACCTCTGATCATTGGATCACTACAAAATTTGAGGTTCTGTCAAAGATTTGCTCTCAAAACTTACTAGTTGGCCTGATTGCAAAGATGACAAATTTCAAGGTCTCGATATCATTTTGTTGCTGGAAGATGGTAAAATTATGTCGAAACTGATGACGCACCCTTCGATCAGTGGTGCTGAATAGTTTTGTGTACTTTCGCTTTAACAAAACTTATTTCACTACCCAATTCCCAATTCTTCTTCCAACACTTCAGATGGGTCGATCAGTAATGACAGCAATGACAAAGGCGTCACTTCGCTTATCTCTGCCCATAAAGGGCGTTGAATTCTTGCAAAAGAAATGTTAGATATAGATGAGGAGCACCTCGTGACCCGTGCATTGGAAGAAAAAGTACCAATCAAAACGCTAATCACCAAATAGTAACCCTATCAGTGCCATATCTTACATGAGTTATTGCTAACAGAAACTCCTTTCCGGCTACTTCCCATTAACAATATGAATCTCCAAGGTCCATAGGGATTCAGGGCAATCATGTTGGCTTCGAACAGATTGCTACACCCCTACATTCCAGCCTCATTTCCCGTTATGTCCGATTTTTACCTTTTACCCGGGTTTACCAGCCATTTTCTGTTTCAATACTTATCGTTTATGCTATCTTTACAGTCTGTGGCATCTTCTGTACAACAAGAGGAAGACCATTCGCACTTGGGTGACGATCATTCTGCTAGAGAATCTCCTGTAAAGGTCACTCACTACGAATTCGATTCGAGTGCCATTCGTTCGGTTTGTCTTGAAAATTCCGCCTAATAAATGTAACAAGCGAATTCCCTTCGTGCTGAACTCGAAAATCTTCCTCGAGATACGCTGTAGAGTGCAGTATTGATTGACGCGAGCCGAGGCATTTCTGTTCGGGGGGTTATTAACGGTAGGGTAAGATACATAGAAGATTGGGCTAGGATAATCACATTTGTAGTAGACGATTGAAACAGTGACCTTCTTCCGACAGATAATTAGCTTCTTTTTCCCATAAAACCTGATAG